AATCCTGGCTACTTAGGAGGCTGAGATGGGGAGGATCCAGGTTCAAGACCAGTGCGGGCAAATAGTTCTCAAGACCCCTCATCTCCAAAAATAACCAGAGCAAAATGGACTGGAAGTGTGACTCAAGCCGTAAAGTGCCTGCTTTGCAAGTATGGAACCCTGAGTTCAAACCCCAGTCCTACCAAAAGCAAAACAAACAAAACCCACGAGTAATTTTCACCTTATTTTTAAATAGCCAGTTATTTTTGCCTAGGTTTTGTGTACATGGTCAGAAAATATAGCCAACATTCTGCCTTTTTTTAATTGGGAAATTTAGTCTTGTTAGATTATTTTAGTAACTGTTTCTTGGATATGTGAGAAAAAATGGATTACCTATTATTTCAAACCAAACTTAAGAATGAATGAACCAAACTATTAAGTGAATGGCACTAATTATCCTATTTATGCACTTACATATCTGAATTGCTACTTTGCCTCTTGCTCCGGCCTTGTCTACAGTATTGTAAACCGGTCTGCTGTTCCTTATCATTGCTGCTAACTGAATTCTAACAATTTTCCTCCGATACTTCTGTATGATGTCATCTAGTCACAATGCTACACAATACTGGCTTTCACTTGCATTTTCCTTTTATTAATAGAAAATAACCTTCTTTGTCCTGGTGAGTGACTTTATTTCTCAAGCTTGCAGCGCTGGTTACAAACAGCATTGCCACTGCTTTTGTTTATGTTTGCTCTATGGGACTTTACACCGAGCACACACTGTTGGTGAAGTGTCGCACAGGCTTGCCTTGTATTTCCCCACTGAACTAAGAATGTGGGAAAGGAAAGCCTGACTTTTTCATATTTTTATTAGGATTTCTATGCTTACTTTCCCCTTCCATTGCAATTACTCCTGTGCTATGCAGGCTGACTTTTTTTTTTTTTAATTTTCTTCAGTGATTTTGAAGAAGGCAATCCTATTTTTAATAGTCAGTGCTTGCTGGAAGGTTTTTAAAAAATCGTACATTTACGTTTTTGTAATTATCAAACAAACAAACACACAAACCGACAAACCTAAGTAAGTGCTGGTGTCAGCAGCACGGTGGAGTCACAATAACCAGCGACACACGTTTTATGGGGATCTAGAAGAGGAACTGGAGTGCTGCTGCATGAGGGCTGAAATACCACGCCATGCCACGTGAATATACACAATTGATTCACCATAACAAGAAATTACTAAATTAAAAAATTTAAAAGTTGGAGATCAAGTGGATTAAAGAAGCAATGACTTCTTTAATCAATTGCTTCCTTCACTGACTAAAGAAGCAATGACTTTGGATTCGCCTTTAGAGAATAGTAAACAGAACCACTTGTTTTGTCCTGTGCACTGTTCTCCTTCGCATCCCCCCTCCCTCCTCTCCCTCCCTCTCCCCCTCCCTCTCTCTCTCTCTCCAGTGCTGGGGATCAAATCTAGAGCCTCTCACATGCCGGACAATGCTCCCTGGATATCAGACCACCTCTTTTACTGTTTTTTTTCCCTCGTAATTGTCTGTTTGTAATCTAACCATCCCAACTGAAGTCCCACCTCGCTGTCTCCATCCTGCACTCTCGGTTATCTCTTGGATGTCTAAGCCTTTGAGACAACTTGTTCAGAGGCCGCACCTACCCGGGAGTGGCCGGCTGTGCTCCAGAGCGACCTGACTGGCTAGGAAACTCTGTGTCTCAAGGTTCTCCCTCAAACCTCTTCTGGTGGGGACTATTTTTCAGGGAGGCTTCCAAGGAACTTGGAAGGTTTGAATGTTAGTGGCATTTAAGGACCCCCCCCCCAGTGGCTCTTTTTCCATAGGTTTTTCTTTTAATTAAACCTGGTGTCTGATTTTCACTATCACACCCAGCCCCACCTCTCAGACTCTGTGTTGCTGGGGACTAACAAGGACATCTGGGTTGTCATGGACCCCATTTGCTTGTGGCCTTTTCCCATTCAGTTCTTGTCCTTCCTTGTAGGAGGCTGGGACTAGGCTCCATTCAGATCCTTCGAGAAGGGAAGGAGCCCAGCAATTCCCTCTGAAGACACATGGAAAAAATGCTGGGGTGACAATTGAAAATGTCCCCTGCTGCTGCCTGTGACACTAACCAGACTCTCTGGTTAATGGAAGCGTGAGGAGGGCCCCCTGGTGGCCATCAGCTGTACTGCTCAGACCTCCCTAGCAGAGAACCAGCTGTTGGGAATATGGCAGGGCAGCTCAGGTCCCTTGTGACATTGGCATTGAGGCCACGCTCTCCTAGGGCTGCTCCCAACCAGTGAAGTCCCCAGAAAAGGTGATAGTGCTGGTTTATTCCTGTTTCGTGTCAGTGTTTCTGTGACATCCATGACACCCCATGACCTGGCCAACACGTTCTCAGAGGCTCTCCTTCCACTGGGTCAGATGAGTGGAGGTCTATCCACTTCTGCTCCCTCTCCCCTTTCACCTTCCCAGGCCTTTCCCCAATCAGTGGAGGCCTAAGACTGTCCTAGTGTCTGCTTCTCTGAGGTCTTAAAGGGACTCGACCACCCCCAGTGTGGGCAGTGGACTGGTGTGGACCCCTGGCTTGGCCGGGCAGGCTGCCAGGCAGAAGCAGCACTTCTTCGAGAAGGATGATGACATCTCTTGTGCAGCCTGAGGTGCATTTGTGCCTTTTAATCTTACTTCAGAGAAGTTCCTGCTTTAAAAAATGTCTACTCTTAAAAAGATGGCTTCCCTCCATCTTCAGAGGGAATTGGGTGGATTAATAGTTCAGGCTTTCTGCTTCCTCTGTCTTTACATGGAACTATTTTTTCTCAAGCTGATTTCTGTTGCGAGTTCACAGAGTGCGTGCATTCTCTGGCTTCAAAGATCAGCGGTGGAGAAGTTTCCATTTGAAGTCTGTCAGTAATTCAAGCGTGACCTGTAGGACAGCCCTTTGAGGAACGCTGGTAGCAGATTCCAATCTACTTCCCCCACATACACCTGCTACAGTCACTTTACACACGTCCCCGCATCCCAGACCAATCTTCAATCTTTGTCATCCTTTGTTTGTTCTCCATTTCTTTTAGCATTTTTTTTTTTTGAAATGGAGTCTTGCCATGTAGCTCAGACTGGTCTTGAACTGCTGAGTTCAAATGATCCTCCTGCCTCAGCCTCCCAAGTGCTGGGATTATAGGTGTGTATCATCATGCTTGACTGGTTTTTGTTCCTACTTCATCTGTGTGTAGGACTTGGATTTGCCTTTGAGCATCACTGATTTTTTTCTTGCCTTTTTTATTTTATGTGGTGCTGGTTTTACACTCAGGGCCTTGAGCTTGCTAGGCAGGCAGCTTGAGTCCTGACCCCCAGCCCTCTGGCTACTTTAGTTCTTAGTCTCTGAATCCCTGCCAGATGATATATCATCCAGCAGCTGGCCTGGGCACCACCCCGCCCCAAGCAGATGCCCTCAGCTCCTTTTTTGCAGCTTGGTTGGACCTCTTTAAGCATCAACGTTAACTGCTGGTCGCTGATTGGAGGGCGACTGCTCTCCACTGCTCTTTGGTGTTACATTGTTCATTTAGACTTGCAGTGAGCTGGGGCCTGCTTTTCTCATTGCTTTTAAATTTATCTTGTGGGCTCCAAGTTATACTAGCTGTTTTTTGACACGAGCCTGTGGCTCTTTTGGAAGAAGCAGCCTGCCAGCTTGCGTTTTTCTAAGCCTCCAGGGATGAAGAGGAGAGCAAAATTTGGGACCCATCTGGCTGGATGTTCCGCTGCTAACTCCAGGTTCTATACACACAGGACCCTAAAGCTGTAATAGGGAGGAGATGAGCTGTCCTAGAGCTCCTGTGACACAAACACATAGGGAAGTTGACACACAGGAAGGCACAGACTCTTTGGAAGGCCACCAAATCAAATAGCCTGCATTAAACAGGCTATTTTACATGGATTAAACAGGATACATGACACATCCATGTATCTATAAATGTATCCCTGGTCACCATCGGGAAAGTAGGTGAGAGAGAGCAGAGGGGACAATGGAGAAAGAAGAGCCATGCCCTGAAGTCAGCATTTGAGTCCCTGATCAAGCCACACCTGAATACAACCCTACCCTAGTTTTCATCTTTCCCATTGTCTGAAATTCTCTGTGTCTAAACCAGTTTGGCTTGGAGTTTGTGCTGTTACTCCTTTCAACAAGAGTTCTGATTCAAAAAAGGGAGAAATATTCATGCACAGACGGGTTCTATTTTTGTAAAAGAAAAAAAGTGTGTGTGTGTGTATGTGTGTGTGTGTAATGACACAGATGCCCTGACTTACCATGGTTCAATTTAGGACTTTTTTGATGACACAAAAGCATACCCATACACCATTCTGTTTTTCACTTCAGTACAGTCATCAGTAGGTAGCATGAGGTAGTCAACACTTTAGTGTGAAACAGGCTTTGTATTGGATGATTTTACCCGAGGGTAAACACTTGGCATGTAAGGTTCTGAGCACATTTAAGACAACCTAGGTTAAGCAGTGGTGATTGATAGATTAAGTGTGTTAAATTCTTTTTTTTTTTGGAGGTATTGAGGATTGAACTCAGGGTTTCACACTTGCTAGGCAAGTGCTCTTAACACGAGCCACATCTACAGCCCTTTTGCTTTTTAGTTCGTTTTTTAGATAGGGTCTTCTGGATTTTCCCTGGCTGGCTTCCAGCCAAGATCCTCCTATCTCTGCCTCTTGAGTAGCTTTGATTACAGGCAGGCATCACCACGCCCAGCTTAAATGCATTTTTGACCCAGGGTATTTTCATGTTACATGGATTTGTTAGGACATAACCCTACAGTAAATTAAGAAGCAGCTGTATGAAAAATAACAGTGGCTACATTGGAGCAGTGGGATGAGAAGTCAGTTTTCTGTTCTGTGTTTTCTAATTGTGATGCAGTAAGCATGGATTGTGCAATTCAGGGGTGTCCATTGTCCTCTACTACGACATTTGTGTCCAGCACTTCGAGAGTGAGAGGGACCCTTAACCTATGGTTGATGTTGCAGGGAGGAACATGAGCGGGCTTGACAGAGGCAACAACTGCTCATTCAGTGACGTGGACGAGCTCATGAAGACCCTGCAGATGGCGGTCCACATTCCCACCTTCCTCTTGGGCCTGCTGCTTAACCTGCTGGCCATCCGCGGCTTCAGCACCTTCCTGAAGAGGCGTCCGGACTACACAGCCACCTCCATCTACATGATCAACCTGGCCATCTTTGACCTGCTGCTGGTGCTCTCGCTGCCGTTCAAGATGGCCCTGTCGCAGGTGCAGCTCCCGTCCCTGGCCTTCTGCACCCTGGTGGAGTGCCTCTACTTCATCAGCATGTACGGGAGTGTCTTCACCATCTGCTGCATCAGCCTGGACAGGTTCCTGGCCATCCAGTACCCGCTCCTGGTCAGCCACCTCCGGTCCCCCAGGAAGACCTTGGGGATCTGCTGTGTCATCTGGCTCCTGGTGTGGACCGGGAGCATCCCGATCTACAGCTTCCACGGGAAAGTGGACACGTACACGTGCTTCCACAACATGTCAGACGGCACCTGGAGCGCCAAGGTCTTCTTCCCCCTCGAGGTGTTCGGCTTCCTCCTCCCCATGGGCGTCATGGGCTTCTGCTCGTGCCGGAGCATTCACATTCTGCTGGGCCGTCGGGACCGCACCCAGGACTGGGTCCAGCAGAGAGCCTGCATCTGGACCATCGCGGCCAGCCTGGCCGTCTTCGTGGTCTCCTTCCTCCCGGTGCACTGGGCCTCTTCCTGCAGTTCCTGGTGAGGAATGGCTTCATCGTGGAGTGCGGAGCCAAACAGAGCATCAGCCTGTTCTTGCAACTGTCCCTGTGTTTCTCCAACATTAACTGCTGCCTGGATGTTTTCTGCTACTACTTTGTCATCAAGGAATTCCGCACCGATGTCATGGCCCACCGGCCTTCCAGGGTCCAGCTGGTCCACCAGGACACCATGTCTACCAGGGGATAAGGGAAGGCAGCCTTGTGCAGAGGAAGGAAATCTCAGTCCCAAATTCTCATAAGGGACGTCTTGTTTCCCTTGGATGCTCACAGAACGCCATCTTTGCTCTTTGTACCCCAGGCCTTTCCACAACGCCTAGATGGCTTGACAAATATCACTCTGTGTCTGGGATTTGTGGCAGACCCTAAGAACCAGGTGAAGTCTTCATTTCTGAGTCCAAAAAATATGAATCTGAAAAAGGCTGCTTTAGCTTATCCATCCTTCTGTTCCACTAGAAGGTTGTAGAAAAAGGAAGAGGGGGCAAGGTGAGAACTTAGGGAGGGAATCAAGAGAGTTAGTTACAGTGGTTGACTTGGGCAGAGATGTACTGGCAGGGAAGTCCCTTTTTAGTTTGAGAACCTCAGAATGAAGCAGTCTGGTGGAGCTCTGTTGGCAACAATGTCAGGGAGATGGTGACAGATAAGGCTGTTCAGGACTGGGCAAATATTGATAGATAGCCTCGTTTCCTTCAGGCCCTAGAGAGGCACAGGAGGCCAACCAAACCTTCCATGCCCATGAGAAGGCTGTAGGAGGGAGGTGGCTGTGTGAACCAGGACTCAGGGAAGCAGTAGATACTGTGTGGAGGTGGTGGGGACAGAATGGAAAGGCAGTAGTGGCAGCTGAGAGCCATGAGGGACAGGAGATGCCTGGGAAAGGAAGTAGACAGACCCCGGGCTGGAAGTAGACCATCCCTCTGCCACTGTCATGAGGTATCCAGTGAATGGAGTGTTAGCACCAACCCAGGCTAGGAGGGGAGAGATGTCTGATTTTGCATAACAGCCTTCTGTCTCGGACAGCCTGGGAAGTGGTTTATTAGACCCGGTTTGAAGACATGAGAAAGAATCAGTCTTGACTTGGTTCAGAGATGGCAGAATGAAGGAGGTGTTTTGCTCACCTGGGTCCTGGCTGGGCAGCTGGCACTAGTGACAGGGCTCAGAGAGCCATTCCTTTCTAGTGGCTGGCAGGGAGGAAATGCATGGGCTAGGAATGGGGAAGCATCTCCATCCAAACAGCACAAAGGCCAGGCCTTGAGGCTAGCAAGGGTGCTCTCTGCAGCTCCTGAGGGTAACTGTAAACGATTGATTCACTCAGTGTTTGGATCCACCGATTGGCTTCTCAAATGCTCTAGAGCCGGAGTTCACAGTGACAACCCAAAGCCTTGAGATGACTCAGCTGTTCCAGAGAGTGAAATGATTAGAAGGATAAATTGTGGGGTGGTTTTGCATACGGAAGGAGTAGGATGTGACGAAACCATGAGACTTAATGCAAACAAGCTGCAGGTCTTTCGGAAGAAAAGCAACCTGGTCAGAACCTGAACGTGTAGGGTAGAGAGGCTCTGGCTGCAGTGGGAGTGGAGGGCCTGGGGGAGGGGTGGTATGGGGGTGGGGAGGAGGGAGGTTTAGGTAAAACCTGGGGCCTGCCTACAGAGGAGGAGGAGGAGGAGGGCTGGGGAGGGGAGGAGAAGGAGCAGGAAGAGGAGGAAGACTGTCCAAGCTTGAAGCTGTGGAGGTGATGGGGTGGGCAGGAAGGGCTGAGGGCAGAACGACTTCCTCCCTGAGCATCTGTCTCCCCAACTAGACAGAGCCATTGGAGGCCGTGACCCCCAGGCTGGGCTCCAGGAACCAGCAGAAACAGAGGCACAGAAGTGAGATGACATCCTGCTCAGCTGGTCCAAGGCCTGGACACTGCTGTTCCTCTCTCTGCCTATGGATTGTGCTGTCCCCACAGTCATCCTGGACAGAGAGACTGCATGTGACACTCTGAGAAAGGCAAACTGTCACGTACAGCAGAGCACCTGGGCTGGTTTGGGTCAGAGTCCATTGGTAGGTAAAGTTTTGGACCACCTGGCCTCCAAGTTCTCTCAGTGCGGGGAGCCAGGAGCCCACCCTGGAGCCGAGTGGAACCCTCCATGGGTGTTCACATCTGCCAATTGCTTAGGGCCAGCCGGGCTTCCCAAGAGCTAAGGCTTGGTGGATCCTGACCACCCATCATTCCCAGTGATGTCAAGACTCCGTCCATAACAGAGAGGGCTCTAGACTCCCCAACCCAGAGGAAAACCATCAAAGAGGGAGACCATCCTGAACCATAAACTGAGGAACTGTAAGGGCTGGGTCCTTGAGGGGTCTAGCAGTATCAGGTGATGTGATGAACAGGCCCTGTGGGTAGGCCTTGCAGACCCTGACCCATTCAGAGTCGGAGGGGTGGGGGGGCTCTCGCTCCTCATCCTGGCCTGAAGGGCTGCTGGAATTGTCGAAGGTGCAGGGCTACAGGGGGTGGCTACTCTGAAGGAGGGTCCAGACTGTGGGCTTAGGTCACCAGCAGCACAGGAGTGGGTGGAGTCAGCATTTGGGTTGGAGATGGGCTTAGGGTAGGTGCTGATGGGTCAGAGGGCTCACCCTGCAGCCAATGCAGCCAGTGAGATGGGGAACCCAGAACTTCCTTGTGGAAAGGCTCAGATTCCTGCTACTAAAACGAGCTGGGCTCAAAGCTGTTGTTTGGCCATAAATGTGACCATATTTTAATTCTTAGCCTGAGAAACCTGAGACACACCTGCTACAGGGACATTTGTGAAAATTAGCATAATTGATTGGGAAAACAATTTGATTTATCTGAATTGCCAAATAAAGATTCACCATGACCTTGTGTTGGGCTATACTTTTTGGCTGGCCTTTGCCAGCAGACCTGACAATCATGGTTCCTTCAGCAGTCACCTGGACAGCAAATACACAGCTACAAGGACTGCCTTTAGCCCTCAGGCCTGCCTTGGGAGCACAGCTGGGTCATCCCAAATGACCAGGAGCCAGACCTGAAGGGTCTAGTGGCAGCCACCCCACAGCCATTAGAGTGCTCCGTTTTCTGTGACAGCAGTTGGGTTCACACTCCCAGCCTCGGTCCATCCTCTGAACACCCACCACCTTAATGCTGGTTCTGCTCCTGAAGGTTCTGTCTCCTCTGCCACGTGGGGAGCTCACCAGAAGAGGACTGCTGGCCACTCAGGGGCTGCCGACATAGCCTAATTCTGTATACCCTCCCTTCTCTGGCCACATGTGGAATGGATCCAACTTCCCCCGGTCAGGTTGGAGTTTTCTTCTCAGCTTCTTACATGGGAATCCTGCTAACCTGTAAGAGCCTCTGACCTGGGTGACCCCTTTTCCTGAGTCCCCCACAATCCTGAGCACATGGGTGGGCACCCATGGTCTGGGCACTGAGGGCTAACCATGAACACCCTCCCTCCCTGACAGTCATTTCCTGTCAACCCAAGAGCCTGTTCATATGTGGGCCCTGTCACCTCAGTGACCTATTGATTGCCAGAGTTGCGTGCTGGTGGACGATGGCCTTCTGGGCCCATGGAGAGACTGACTGAGGTGGCTGAGAGAACTCCTCTCTGAGGAAGACTCTTAAAAGACCTATAAAAGTGGTTCTTTGGAGGGGCACACCCCTGAAACTACCAGCCTGGTGCCTCTCACTTTCCCCACCAGTGCTGGCCTCTCACCAGTGAGCCCAGAACCGAGCCAGTACAGGGCATTTGAGGGAGTGTGGGCTTGAGTGCAGTAGAGATGAGCAGTGCTGGGGGAGGGGTCTTGATATGAGCCACAGCTGGGAGGCCCTCGACACTTTGAAGTCTGGAGATGGAAGGATCAAAAGCACTGTCACTTCAAAGTGATTCTTTCGGGAAGAGCCTGTGAGCTCACCTTGGAGGCCCCAAACAGTACTTTTGTTCTGGAGCTGTCACCTGAGCAAGCACAACCAAAAGCAAAACTGTCTCCACAAGGCACAGCACAGTCACACAAAACGCTATTTAGAGGCTGGGTGCAGTAGGTCACACCTGTAATTCTAGCTACTCAGAGGTGGAATTCAAAAGGATCATGATTTGAGACCAGCACCAGAAAAAGTTATTGAGACCCCCCTCCTCAACAGGTGGCATGCTCCTGTGGTCCCAGTTATGAGGGAGGCATAGGTAGAAGGACTAAGTGGCTCCAGGCATAAACTCAAGACCATATCCAAAAATAACTAAAGCAAAAAAGAGCTGGGGGCATGGATCAAGTGATAGAGCACCTGCCTAGCAATCGCAAGACCCTGAGTTCAAACCCCAGTACCGAAAGGAAAAAAAACCAAAAAACAACAACAACAAAAAAACCCAGCTACTTAGGGTGATGTGTGAAGTGTGTCCCCTCCAAGAAGCCTCTCTTTCCTCTGGATGGCTTGGGCTGGACAGCTGTGCAGATGACAGAGCACAAACTCACTCCCTGGTGTTTCTTGTTCAAGTTCTGTCTTGGGGAAGATTGAGAGTGGAGGAACAGAGAATTGAGGACAGCAGGATGGGACCAGACCAGTCTAAATAGCTGATTCCTAGCACAGTGCATTTCACACAGACTCATTCGAGCTTTGTGAAAATACCGATCGTGGTCTAGACCCAGGAGGAAGGTAGGAAACCCAGGTTAAGGAAGGTTCCAGAGGACTGGCCTTAGGGTAGGGAGTGTTTGCAGGGGAGGGATTCCGGGAGCACCTGGTAGGTGGGTAAACCCTGCAGTGTGAGAGGCAAGACTTTCAGGTTCTGGTCTGGAGCCCACAGCCCCTCCTGCTGCCCATACCTCCCCTCACCTCCACTTTCTCCTGGGGAGGCCCTGGCTGGAACCACAGAGCTGCTACTGCAGGGCAGGCTCTCTGGAGGCCTCCTCTGGGGTAGGGCTGGGCCTGTGAGATCCAAGGAGAAACCTTGGGACTTGGCTTTAGAGGGACAGCACAGGAGCAAGGGGATGGAGTGGGGGTGGAGGGATCCATAACCTGGCACAACCTGTGTTGAATGAGACCATCAAGCCCCTGGACCCCCTTATGTGGGCCTGGGCAGGGTGTGACCTTGAACAAAGGACTCCTGTAGTTGGGGCTGAGAGTGACTGAGCAAGTCCTCACTGAAGTCTCCCCAGGGGCGAGCAGCACAGCCGGGGTCAGCAGCTCCAGTCACTTGGGTG